CATCCCAACAAGGATAGTTAAGAGAGAAGGAACATGACATTCATGTCATACTTGCTGCATTGCACTGATAAATCCATCCACACCTTTGGCTTCTTTCACTCCCTTTTATAGCTGGGAAATGACTGCCCAAGAGCTTAAAGCTGCTCACCTAATGTCTGTACATCAGCTGGTACACTGCAGCCTTGAGCCAATTCCACCAAAATCCTCTTGCAGGGAGCAGGGATGCAGCAGCTGATGCTGCCAGCACTGTGGGTGCTCCTCTCTACAAGGGCAGCCCCCTTCACCCACAGTCAGTGCTCCCCAATCTTTCCAACATCCATAAGAGCAGAGGGAATGCTGGCAGTACCACATGGTGTATTCAGGTTTCTGCTCCTGCTGGCAAACTCTGAGAAGGAAAGGCACTCCTGATAAGGACAGGCCACAGAGAAATGGGCAAGGGACACACCACACTGACAAATCTCGAATAGGAAGCAAACAAAGCCTTTTGCCCTGTGGTCACAAAATACTTCCCACCACTTTATATATTATGGGTTTGCACGCCCATTAGCAGAGCTGAATTTACTGCTCTCTTGGTCTCTTTTCCACCTTTCTGCTGGCACTATTCCACGTACTTTTTGTTATTGATTTGGCATTTCCATTTATTCTCCTGCAGGTTATTAAAATTATTTTAAAACAGCTCATAAGAATCACACTGAAAAACTACTTAAAGGTTCAGAACATATTTGTCTGATATTCTACTCCCATATTCCACAGCAATAGTCCTGGATATGCTCCATAAGGTTGGAAGAGGAGCCTGCCAAATACTGAACTAGCCTGGCAGGTGGCTCAGAACTATTTTTTCCACCAGGAACTCAAAAAATATAGCAGACACAAATATTTCATGGGATATATTCACAGGTCATGCCTGACATAGGAATGCATTAAGCTCAAAAATTTTGCTCACTCCTTTTCAGTAAGCTCAGACTGACATGTGGCAGAATAAAAGCATTTGGTCCAGCAGTATTCCAGAGTAAAACTAAACAACTGGAGATCCCTCAAAAACAGACACCAGGCACTTGAATTTCTTAGATAAATTTCATTTTCACTTCTAAAATATGCCAATAGCTTGACCTTTGATGGGCCAGTTCAATTACTGGGGGAATACAAACATAGAAACACAAGGTATGTCTGTGTCTTTCCAAGCATTAGAAACACAGCAAATATTCACTTTCCAAATAAATAAAAAATATTCTTTTTAAGACTGTCCATCCCAAATGTCTTCGACCCATGTTATATGGTTTCAAACTTCCAATATACCACTAGGGAATAATCTTGGTGCAAGGGCTGTGCATTTTTGAAGCCTCACTCTTTCACATATTCAAGCTTCATCTTTTTCAGTAATATAAACAAAATCCCTACATTTTGTTAAAGGAAATCTCATAGTTTCTCACACGTATGTGATACTTAGCTCAGGGCATTAAAAAAACCAAAATACTGCATGAGTTGACAGTGCTATGTTTCAATATAATTTAATTAAAATACTAATCTTAGGGGCTGTAGGAAAAACTAAAGACAAACCAAGGATGGAGGGAGAAGGGATATGAATCAGAATAAGAACTAATAGCACAAACCCACATAACATTATCTGAGTTAAAGAGCAGTGAAAACACTCTGCAAAACAATATCCTGAGGACTCAAAAAAGAAAATCTATAGAAAGGAAAAAAAGATAATCAACAACAACAGAAAATGCAAAGCCAAGAAAATTCCCTTTATGGGCATTTCCAGTGAGGTTTAGTGAAATAAAAGGTGATCAAGTGGTTCCATTGCAAAGTCTATAATCCAAAGTGAAGATCCCAGCACTTTCTGGAAAAAATCCAGCCCCCTTTAAAAGTAGAGAAGGTGAGCAGCTGAACTGTTGATTATTAGGGGTCACTTCTGGAAAACCTTTGTTTGCATGTAGCTGATCACATGACAAATAGCTTTTGGAAATAGGCTCAGGCAACAGTCCTCCAAGGGGAAATGTGTTGCACATTACATCACCATCATCAGTAACAGGTAATAAGTTTTTACATTTATCACATGCAGCAAATTTAATATAAACATGTTTTTTCTATTAGGCAGAGGAGCAGAACACAAGTTTCTCAGAGAAAATTGTGCTCTGAGTTCCTCTGATTTTTTCTCATGCACTTAACGCCCGTGATGAACATAAGAGGAACCAACACAATGTTCCAAAAAAAAAGTGACTGTAGTAGCAAGATACCAAGCCAAGACACTATAAAATAGATCCTCAAATGTTTTTTTTCAAGCACTTAAAAAACCCCCCCAAATTCCTTTATTCCAGGTACTTTGCTTCTCTGCATAGATGCATAAAAGTCTTTCTCTCATGTGATTTCTAGTAAAATTACCAACTGAGCTTTAAAATATGTCCTTCGCCCACAGCACTAACTTAGTTTTTGTTAAACAGAACCTCCCAAGTTTTTTCCTTGCTTGTTCTTTTCTCTGGTGAATATTGATAGGTACTTTTTCTCTCCAAATGCTACTTTTCCTGAGCATTTTTAAAAGATTTTGACAGTTGTATCAACTTCACTAATTCTATGCTAATTTTTAGATGTGGTTTCTGATTTCACATACAATTTCTACAGCTGCAAAGCTTGTGTTTTCATCAACAAAAATTGCTGAATGCAAAATAAAGCTATATGATCAAACTGTCTTAATGAGCAATATTAACTGGAGAGAGCCTGCACAGAGAGCATAAGCCCCAGATTTCAAATTGCATTTGCTACACACAAGTTTACAGAAGTGCATGACTAATTCCTATACAGACAAAGATTTAAATCCATGGTAAAGGGTTGTATTAAGTGCCTGAAGACACCTACAGATGTTTTTTGTGGAGCTGTAGCCTCACAACAAGATCTTACCGTCCTTAATTTCTGTTAAACATATTTAATTAATTTTGCCTATTAATGCTGTGTCATCTGGGAGCAAACTTCTCAAGCAACTCTCTCCCTATGACATCTCTGAGTTCTTTTGATACATTTTGTATGTTGTTTCTGAAAACCTGGTATTTGCACTAATTACCCACCCTAAAATCTAAATTTGGAAGAACAGAGCTGGAGGAGGTGACTTAGATGTGCACTGAACTCAGAAAGTAACCCGAACAGAGACAATGGAAAATGCTTGAAATACCACACAGCAAATATCAAAAGCTGCAACATTAAGATAAAGACATCTTGGTGACCTGGGGGTCAAATGACCACGTCACACTGCTTGCAGTACCACTGTGTTCCAAAATTAGCACTGCATATACTGCTAAATGTAAAATCGCCAGGAGTGGGGATTATCATCAGGCAGCTTCTTAAGAACGATTTTTCTACTTACACAGCAGTTTTAATAATGTTAATGGTGAGAAGAACTGAGCTGCCATGGCTATCAGCTAATTGCATTAACATGTACAAAACACCATAAAAATTTCATGCAACGTCTGTTTAGCAACCATTCATCATGAACATGTTAACAAAATCCTTTATTTGCACCACTCCATCAGCTGCCATAAATCATATGTACTTTGGCTGCTGCCAGCTTGTTTAAAATTCTCATTAGCTACAACTAGCAGGTTATCTGTAAGCTCCTAAACACAGAATTAAAGCAAAATAATACTAATTTTTAAAATAGATATATGCTTTCAGGCTTCATTGTAAATTCAAAAGTCACCCAGACCCATTCATATGCAAAACGCTCAGTGTCACAGTTTCTAAAGCCCAGACATTAAGCCAAGACTAAAGCTGCCTTGTTGACCAGAATTACCTTAGGACAATAGGCCCTAAAAGCCATAAGAAGTTACGAATATCATAGAAGTAAAAAAGAGAGGTTATTAAGTTCTACATAAATGTACTGCTTCCACTGTATGTCCAGAGGTCAAGGATGTGAGCATCCAGACTGTGACTCCTCATCCACAAATCCCTGTCCATGTCCAGTGTATGTCTTCTCCCCTTGGGAAACTCTCTAGATTCCAACACAAATTCTCTCAGTGGCACTCCAGCAGGCACTGCTTGCTGCTACTCATCTCCCTTCAAAGCAGTCAAATAGGTTTAAATGACACCTGTTTAATTTTTTTTCATCAGCTTCATCAAGGATGAAAGTGTCACCAGCCCATTCATTTCATGGCCCTTAACGTCACCCACGTGCCACAGCTACAAGTTAGAGCTCTATATCCCTACAAAAGCATCTCAGTGACTTGGAGCTACATCTTATTGGAGTAACAGTTAAAATTTTTGACAACAATTCTATTGAGATTACATGAGAAATCTGAAAACAATTCCTCATCTCCCAAAGGTACGCCAAAACCATCCCAAAGAAATTATCAGAACCAAAATGACTTATTATATATGAAATATGTATTGAAATTATTAGCAGACTTAAGATAGTTAAAGCCACAAAGTATTTTTTAAAAGACTGATTTTCATCACTTTTCTCACTATTTTCTTGTCCAAGGATAAAGAGATATATGTAAAAAAAATCTGTGACGACTCCTCACAATCTCTTTCAGTCATCTCAAAGAGAAACAAAACAACCTTTCCTCTCCCCCACACCAAATCAAAGAGATGCAAAACATTAGTTACAAAAATTGGTCCAAAATAGTGGATTTTTCAATAGTGAAGCAGATTTTGCCATTTTAAATAGTGCTCAGAACACTGCATGTGTAGGGGCTTTTTTAAAATTATTTTTCTATATTAACACTTCATCTGAAGCCACGTTCTGAATGTGCTCCATCTGATAACTGTGCAATGCAGAAATTGCACACTCGGAAAACTCATTATAAGATGACAGCATTATGTTAATGTGTGCTAAAAATTACTACAAGTTGTAACTTTAATTTTCCCTGCTTCCCCCCTCCAATAAAAAAAAAAAAGGAAAAAAAATCAGCATGCACTTCGGCATTAAGCATCTTCTGGCATTTGGCTTTTTTTTTTTTTTTTTGCCAAAAAGCATGATTTAATAAAATAACACATTGTTGACTCACCACAGCATGTGCTATGTCTCTCATCTATAGGAAATAGTTCAAAGGCATCAACTTCATGCATGGGTTGCCATAGCTGATATTTGAGTCTGGCCTGCTGTTGGTACAGGTTTCTAATACTAGCCCTAAGCACAAAAAAAGAGAAAGAAATATTTGGAGTTTATTTTTCAAGTCTGATTGACACAGAAAATTTCAGATAACTAAACTAATCTGGAATATCAATATCTGCGCATCATGTAACAAAGACTTTAGATTTTCCTCTGATAATACCATAATGCATCCTGTTCAGGCAGTATCTGTACCATAAATTTCCTTTCTTCCACACAAAGAAGAAAGGCAGGAGACAGAAAATTATGCAGAATCAAGTGCTGTTTAAATGGGAGAAGTGTGTCACAATTATTCCCCACCAGCAAGAAAAAAAAAAGAAAAAGAAAAAAAATCAAGGTCTTAGTGCTCATGAGCACATGTTCAAGACTGTTCAAATTGAAACAGATGGCACTAAAAAAAATAATAAAACTGATCTAAAATAATTATTTTTGTTTCTATACTATCTTTCTCAGGCCAGATCTTTTCTTTGGAATAAGGAAGAGCAGAAACTTTACCTATAACAAGTTGAGATATGGACACAGTCACCTGCCACCGATACCTGGGGATGGAAATGAAATTTGACTTGTGACTAATTAACAGCTTTCAAAACTGTGTCATATGGATACATACAGGAATCAGGAAAGGCCTGTGAGTTATTGCTGTTTATCAAATTAGCACCCACTTAAAAACAAATAACAAAGCATGTGACAAAAAAGTTCAACTGACAAAGCACATGCAGCCAAGAAACTTACAGAAAACCTCAAGAACTGTAGGGAAAAGCAAATGCTGTGGTATTATACCTAACCACTGAACAAAACTAAGTGATTACTGGGAAATATAAGGTTTGAGCACCCTCACCCTTGTATCCTAACATGCTTTAAAGTATCTCAGAAGAGAACTAAATTTTTATACTAAGAAAAGAAAATCAAAATTCCTCATGAGAAAACAACTACTTGACAAAAAAAAGGGCCCAACTCACGCTCCTGAAATCCCACCTTTAAATTACAGTTCCTGATTTGCTGGGTTATTGACCTCTTAGTGTAGAATCCTAGTGAAGCAGCTATTGACTTGACTGGAAGGCTCTTCTGGACCTCCAACTTTTAGTGACTATTACCTCACAAAAGTCCTGAGAGAGTCCAACATGCCCAAAGATTCGTGTCAGATCAGGTCCTAACACAGCCCGAATTTCCAGTGTCACTGCTGTGATGTGAGCAAGGGGCTGCACTCACAGGGTCATCAACATCGTCTTGTTCTTAGGCAGGAGAAAAGCCCAGAACCTGCCTAAAAATACAACAGCTGCTTTTCCTTTTTCCTGCTGCAAAAAGACACTGCCCTGTGCCCCAGGCATAGTCAGGAAGATCCTAGGGTACACATGAGCTTTAGATCATGAATTCACATCCTTTGTGTAGAAACGAAACTGAGAACAGACCACCACCACCATACACCAAAACTTCTACCAAAAATCTCACTGTACAAAAAAAACAGTAAGATGGGAAAGTTTTGGGACTTGAATTTCCTGCCCTTCTCTTCTAACAACTAGCCAAGACTGATTCTAAAGCTTGCTAACAAAGCTACAGCTATCAGGCTGGAACACAGTAGAGCAGCTCAAGGACAGCTGTGTAACTTTCATAAAGAGTGGACATGGGACCAGGAAATTCCATCCCATCCCCTCTAATGTTTTTGACTTCTACTTTAATCACTGGTGATCCTTTTATGAGGGTTCATTTTCCTTGCAAGTAACCTTCAAAACAGTAAGTGTGCAAGAATCATAGAAAAGGAACAGTAAGTGTGCAAGAATCAAAAGCAGAATACAAGCATTGAAGGTCAGAATTTATATACATATTCGGTATTGTAGTCCAATGAAGACTCCCTCCTTTACTCCTGATGATATAACAGAGCAGCAACTGTGGCGATTCTGCAATCTCTAGGCTTTCAGGACATAATTTCTAGTAGTGCTATTATTATAAGCTCAAAATGTAATGAGTGGAATGGGAGGGGCTATGGGTATAGAATGCTTGTGATTAAAAAAACCCCAAAATTTACTTGGATTTGAAAATTTACCAACAAGCTGGTGATATTTTCCATAATTTGGAATTGTCCAGGGAACTGGGTAGTATCTACTGAACAACAGTTTAAGACATTGCAAATTTTAAAGCTGGAGGCCTTTCCTGAAATGCAGCTTTTCTCTCTTCCAAGTCTTAAGAAAATTATGATGTCGTCTGCAATGCTAAAACCATCCTCCTTTGGGCCTGCTTTAGCCTTCCCTAAAATTGGATGAATTTTGCAATGAACTGTAAATTACAAGTGAACTTTATGACCTTCTCCAATACCATGGCAGTGAAATTTTGATAACTCTCTCTTTGCTTTAGCAAGCCAGATTTGGTACTGTAACACTGTTTGAAGATATATTGATCCAGTACTGTTAAATTGCTAAAAAACAGCTGCAAACATGCCAGGCACTGACAGCAGGGAAAAGAAAACCCCAAATCTACAAGGAAACACTCATCCCTGTGGTCTGCTCATAGAAATGTGTGTGTGCACTGAAGGGGCTTTTTAACAATGAGAAGGACATTTTCCAAGCAGGCAGACAGGCAGCTGAAGTTAACTTATTTTTCATGGTAAGTGATTTCTGTCCTTATCCTATTTAGGAACATCCTTGTAATCCTAATACTCCTCAACGAAACCATAATTACAGCAAGACCCTGAAAAATGATGCATACCCTGAAACAGCAGGAGAGAGCTATGAGCAAGAGTGCAGTTTATTGAGAGTCAGGGAAAAAGAATATTGTTTAATGGCTGAGGTCAAATCACCTTTGTCGTTCACATCCGCATCCCTGCAAGACAAAGTCGTTAGCTGAGCCAACTGAAAAGGAATATTCCTATGCCACCATTCCTAGCAGGAAGAGAGCAGACAGCCAGAGGAGCACAGAAGAAAATATTGCCCCAGTGCTCCTGGCCAGTGATTACATGGCAATGTAGTGAAAGAAGGTGAAAATAGTGGAGGTTTGGTGCACCCCATTTTCTCCAGGGCAGGGGGACCAAAGACAGGTTTCACGTGAGCAAAGACAAGCAGCCCTGTGCTGTACCTACACCTGCCTGTTCTGTATTAACCCTTCTCTTCTGCTGAAGCTGGGCTTGCAGGACAACCTCTGTGTCCTCAACCAAGCTGATTTCAGACTCCTCTGGTCACTTACAATATACTCATTTGCATTTTCCTCCTAATAAATTTCTACTCTGTGCCATAATTTCCCTCAAAATTTGTATTTTCACACAGTGTCAGTTTGTCCCTGTAGAAGCCCCTGGCAAAACTTACAGTGAACATATCAGAGGAGTGGAAAGTTGCACTGAGGATATCAGGAAGCTCTGCAGCAAAAGGAACCCATGTAAACAAGCTGACAATCCCCAGCACACGAATGGTGTGAAACATGCCCATCATGGTTCACTGGGAGCACTGGCTGCTTATTAAACAATGCTGTAACACTTAATTATCCCAGGCAAATTTATATTATTTCTAATAATGTCCCTCTGCTGTAAAAAACAAAACCAACACTTCTTCCTGTAGCAGTAGATTTTTCTGCCAAAGGATTTCCCTGCAAAGCAACATTGATTTCACTGCAGCATCTACAGATTTTTAATTCTCTTTTGCAAAATAACTGGCCCGTAGCTTGCTGTAAACATTTCTCCTGAAAGCTCTTGTGGTTCTGTAAAACCCAGTGGGCTGAGTTGTTCACTTGAATCCAAGTAATGTGGAAGAGTGATGATTAAAGGCTACTTTCTTAAAAACAACCCCCACCCCCACATCCAACAAGGTCTGTCAAACACTTCCACACACATACTTTTTTCTTTTTGGCATTCAATCACTGTACAAAAGGCCAAGACTTCTGTCCTCTGAATCTTCCAGCTCCTTGCCCTCTCTTTATTTTTCCACATTCGAATTTCATACGGCTGTGTACGGACCATATAACCCCACAACACCCTCATTTTTCTACTGAGCTGCGAGCCAAGACACCTCCTTCCCCCCAAAGCCCGCGGGCAGCCTTAGAGGTGATGAGGCTGAGTAAAACCCCGCTGTTTACATGAGCCAGCTGCTAAAGCACCACCACACTCCCCTCCACCGTGTGCCCCTGCCCTGCTCTCACAGCCACCGGCACCCACAGCACCCAAGCATCAAAGCTCATACACACCCGACCACAGGGAAACACAGGGATGCTTCTCCGGCCACAAAATGGACAGGTGCAGCCTTCTTGCTTCGCTTTGCAGTTTACTTCATTAACCTCTCTCTCTCTCTCTCTCTCCCCCTGCTTTAATTTTTTTTTTTCCCCCCTCAAGCAGCAATCAATATTCATCACCCCACCCTGCGAAAGCAGTTAGTCAAAGAATATTAGCATCAGCCACCTACCATTCCTTGCTTGCGAGCTATTCTCCTCGTCCAGAAAGCTTTTCCCCAAACTGCGACTTTAGGTGGTATTTTTAAATCACATTCCAAACAGTGCCGAGGGGGAAAAAAAAATGGGGTATTTATAATAATAGAAAAAAAATTAAAAAGGGGGGAAAAAAAAAGAAAAAAAAAGATGGGCAGTTGGTTTCAAGGTAAATCACTGTTTTCCTTTAAAGAACTGAATAAAAGCCTGGGGGAGAGGGTAGAGGAGAACAGAAAAAGGGGAGGCAAAATGTCTGATAATAATGAAATAAAAGGGGAGGGGGGGGGGAAGAGTGGCTTGCTGAATCACGCTCTTTCACTGCCTGGAAACCATTGTGCAGCGTGATGCTGGCTGTACCATTGTGGAACCTACCAGAGGAGACAGGCAGAGAGCTTGGGGAATGGGGCTGCTATGGCAACTGAAAGGAGCACACTTGACGTCAAAGCACACAGAGGTCTGGCAGGGGGAGGGAGAGAAAAATCTAATCTGCAGCCACAGCCACGGTATCTCCTGGAGAATCGGGATAGAGCAGCCTGCAAAGGGAAGCCGAGCAGCCTCCTGTAGCACTCAGCAGCAGCAGCAGCTCCGACATCTGCAGTACAGAGGGAAGGTGGAATAGCAGTGTGGATCTGCTCTTTTGTTTACATCAGCTGCTGTACAAAGGCATAAATGCCCATCACCCTAAAAAAAATGTACACATGTTTAAAATTCAATCAAGTTTCACACTCGGGAGAGGGATTTTAAAACATAATAAAATTACAACACATTTCCTCCACAGCTATTGAACACAGCTGCTGCTCAAATGAGCAAGCAGTGCAACTCTTGGAGTCCCTCAGATGACCAAGCACCTGCTAAAGATCTCCCCTCTAGCAGTGTGTTGTGCCCACTGCTAGACTGCCACAAATCCCACTTCTAAAACCTACCACTGCACAGAGGAACTGCTGCATTTTTTGCTCACAGAACCAAGCAGAGCTGGTGATGACTTCTGATGCCCTCCAGTTTAAAAACTGAGCAGATAACATTTGTTCTGCACATATCAAACTGCAGGATGTCTCCTCTCTTCTGACATTAAACAGCAAAGAAAGCACACTGGAGGGCTACCACACTTCCATGAGATGTAGGCTGGGATAAGAGCTAGTCAGAAATATTATCATAGAATGGTTTGGGTTGGGAGCAATGTTAAAGATCATCCAATTCCAGTATCCCCAGGCAGGAATGTCATTCATTAGACCAGATTGCTCAGAGCCCCATCCAACCTGGCCTTGCACATTTCCAGGGATGGGGCCTCCACAGCTTCTCTGGGCAACCTGTGCCCATGCCTCAACACCATCACAGTGAAGAATTTATTCTTAATATCTAACCTAAAGTTGCTCATTTTCAGTTTGAAGTCATTCCCCCTCATCCTGTCACTCCAGGCCCTAAAAAGTCCCTCTCTTTCCTGTAGGCTCCCTGCAGGTTATAGAAGCCCACAGGAAGGTCACCCCAAAGACCTCTCCAGGCTGAACAATCCCAATCCTTTTTGCCTTTCCTCCTATTATGGTGACATTTTATCTTGCCAAAATATCATTTAAAAAAACCAAATAATTTTCTTCAGTATATCAATTTCATTGGTCAAAAAGAACACCAAGGAACTCATTGCAGCTTTCCTGCCACTGGTCTGAATATTCCACAGGTTTTTCCACACCCAGAGCCACACAGTCTGTGTGACCAGGAACTTGAACACAGAGGTTATCTAACCGAGTTGGGTGACTCCTGCTTTTCTGAGTGCCTTTAGCAGCCCATCCATTGACACATGGCATGACACACAAACATTTAAATCGTTTAACCTAACTACAGACAAAGTGAAGTCAATGGCTGTGATGGGCCCCTGAGCTATTGGTTGCCCATTCTTATCTACATATACAACTCCCCCTTCTCCATTAGCCTGTTTCTCTTTTGTGTTGTTTTTTGGATGTGAAGGTTTTTATTTTCATTCATACATTCCTGCATACATAAATACATGCATGAAGGTCTGAACACATTTAGTTGCAGCGAGAAAAAAATCTATAGTTCCAAATTTCACACAGTTGTCTTTTTTCCCTCCCCATTTACTTAGCAGCTCTACCACAAGCTAACAACCACCACAGAAAGTCCTCTCCACACTCTACATATTACTAAGAGATGATGTGAGGATGTCCTGCCATTGTCACCAGTGCCCAGTGGAGGCACAAAGGGCAGCAGGGCACAACCTCCACCACAGTTTGCAAACTGTGAAATAAGTAGAAATAAGTAGAAATAAGCACAGTAGAAATTTGCACAGTAGAAATAAGCAATAAGCCACATAAATTTAATGTGTCAAGCTCAATACTGGTCTTCTTCCACAATTCACTATTGTTAGCCAAAATACCAGAATGAAATTACCTCTCTGAAGGTTTTTTCCTTAAAAATATATCGATACACATATTTTCCTGTATTACAAAATATATTCAGAATACATTGAATTTAAGTTTTATAGAGAAAAAAACCAACTCCACATTATTGTGTGAGTCAGGAAAATACCTTTGAAAATACCATTAACTGACCACTCACTGGTGCAGAAGGGATTAAGGGTGGCTGTTTCTGTCATAATTACAAGAGTGTGGTTGGAGAAACAGAGAGGAAACATAAAGCCTAAGCTTCTGTGAAATGGCAAGCTTTGGAGAATAATTAGGATATTTGCCCTTGAAACAACGTATCTAATGGAAAATAGTGGCTTTCAAATGCTTCTTTTCCCAATCCAGGGATGCTGCTTCCTTGAGCTCAGCACCAATTCTCTCCACATTCATCTTGGGTGATTACAGTGTCCTCCCGAGATGCTTTACTGGCTGGGTCAAGATACGCCAGGATGCCATAAAATGCATTCCACACTGGAATCAGAGCTCAGCTGAACACTGTAATGGCCTGACACAGTGCATCAGATTGGCATCAAACAATTTAAACAAATCATTTTTGGCACCAGTTTCCCAGAATAGCTGCCCCAGTCTTAACTGGTGGATGTGCTCTCTGTGACAGGTAAGGCCAGAAGTGGGTATGGTCTAAATTTAAGGTCGACTGGATGGGAACACATGTTTTTCAGCACAGAATTAGCTACAAATGTCACAATGAGCCAAGTAAATTAATTTGAGCTAAGCTCTTGGACCTCCTCTTTGTGCCTCTAAAGCATTCAGTGTTGGTCCTCCTTAGTACAAAAATAATTTCATTTCAAATGCAAATTCTGCATACGATTTGTAGCCCAGGAGATGAAAGTTAGACTGTACCTCTGTCATTGATTTTCATGAGAGACACTGGGAGCACATTTCTCCCAGAGCCTGTGCATGGATGGCTGAATGTAGCAACTCCTGACTTGCCACAGTTTGCAGTCCAGCACATTAAATCTGAAATTGGCAATGGCTTAATGCCGTGGGTTGCAAATTGTGATGGTTTAAGAGCAGCTACACGCCCCCTTCAGCTCTGCCTGCCTTACAGGGGTCATCTTGCTCTGAATCACATTAAATTAAGGCCACTAAAATAAAATCCTAGTGAGCAAGAATCCTCATGTTTTAAGGCAGAAAGCAACAAACCAATCTCTGAACAAATTCTTCCACCCAACTCGGTGCTAAAGCCAGAACTAAAGGATTTCTCAACATCACTTTCAGCCACAGTTTTGCAGGATTCCAGTCTGATGCAATGTTGCACTCTCCAGTGGAACAGTGAAGGTTTGTGCCAGGCTCTCCATGGAACCAGCCACTGCTGTTCTCCCCAGGTATGTACCCACTGTACACACAACCCAGTAATGTCTTTATTTGTAATTTACGTAAATTATTTTACAAGCTTGAGGATGCAATATAACAAACTCTTTTTTTTGGCAGCTCTCATTTGTCTGCCATACAACCCTTCCCTGTACTGAACTTCTAAGCTAGTTTTTAACAAAATCGAAAAATTTGTAATGCCTTCGTTGCTCTTCATTCTCAAGGAAAAATTACTGATGAAGGCTGACCTGGACTTCATCCTAGACAAAAGAAATAATAATCTTGGCTTTTGTGTTCATCTCCACCAAGAGGCCTTTAAAGCCATTACATTTTTCAGTTTTTTATTATCTAATGGTTGAGAGAGGCTTTTAAAAATGTAAAGGGTGTCACCCTATTACTCTTCTTTCCTATAGCCCTTCTTTCATCCCCTTTCCTTCCACTACCTCTTTACTGTCATACCATGAAGAAGTGTACATTTTAATCCTAGGGTTTCTTTAACTTTGTTATACAGGTGGACAAACGTAACAAAACTAAACTAAGATGGAGAATTAAATATGACCAGCAACATCTCAGCTTTCTATATAATTCTGAGGTTGAAAAGCACAATCTAAACCCTCCTTTTACGTTCATGAGGCCTGACCAATACAGAGATGCTGCAATTACCAAATGTAATAGGAGACAAAATCTGGTAATTGAGAACAGGCACTGATATCACAGGGCAGGGCATGGCTGTTGGACAACTCTACTTGATTCATTTTTTCACAAGGGAGGTTTTAAGTGAAAGAAACAGTGAATCAGCACAACAGATGCACCAGAAGAATTCTTAAAAGACAGACTGATTAACAATAAACAATCCAAGGAGTTGCACTGATCACTTGCTCGTACATTGTACAAACAAGGACAAAATCTAACAGCTATCTGACCAAAATGCATTATTTTGGACATTGAAATCCTGGTTTAGATTTAGTAGAGGACAAGAGCAAATTGAGAAAAAATGTTCTTCAAGTCAAGAATGCTTTTCATTACCCATACTTTTCTAAATCAAGATCTAAGATAGGATAAAACAAATCTTAGCAGGTATGCATTGAGCAGCAACACAGGCACTAACACAGGAGAAATGTGCACACAAATGCATGCAAGCACATGAATACACAAATTTGAAGGGTTCAAGCTTTTACATTCATCATCATTAGAAAAAGGATGTCCTGAAAGGAAGATAATAAACATGGAACAGCAAGATGTACATATATCTCACTAGCAGTAAACTAGATGGACAGAACTGGACTCTTGAGTACTTCAGTTAAGGGAATGAACTTAATGAATGACTTCAAACATCCAAGTGTTGGA